ACGACGCACCGTGAAACGAGCAAACCAACTTTCGGAGCGCCAGGCAAACTGCTTGACCAAGTCGCCACGTAGTCCCACCCCCAACCCCAGCCTTATACAATGTAGCGTTGATAAATGCGTATAGCAACAACTACACTGCCACTATTACCAACCTACAGCGTTTGTTTACCCACACAGTTCCTGTGACTACTGGCAAAGAATCCCTAGAGCATTCCCAGCATCGCTACAAACGTAACGTTCTCCAGCTGTGTGAGCTAGTGGCTCTGTACACGGGACGATGGTGCTACAGATACAACCGCTACGGTTGTTATTGTGGCCTGCGCACCTCCACTGTTGCACCTGTGGATTCTGTGGATAGGTAAGTGAAGATCAATCAATCAGGTGCTGTCTCCCCAGAAAAGGTTGGCTGCAATGGATTTCTAACACTGTGTCTCTCGTCTTGGTAGCACCCTCTCGCAGACTCCTGTTCGCCCAGTTCATCATCATCAGTTCTCGTTATGCCTACTGGCACGTGAGGCTTCCATGCTTTCCTGTCCTGTGCAATCTTCAGTGCAGTTTTCCATGTCAAAGATGCCGCACTCAGGTCACTTTCCCTCGTTCGTCTCCATGTTGTTTTTGGGCGCCCCTGTTTTCTCTTTCCCTCTGGTGTCCATGTGAGAGCTGTTTTGGCAGGTATATCAGAAGTCATTCTCATAACGTGGCCAAGCCATTTCCATCTTCTCTTGGTAATCATACTGTCTAAAGTTTCTTGGTTTGTGGTTTGAAGTAGTTTAGTGTTTGAGATTGTATCTGGCCAGACAATTTTGATAATTCTACGTAGACGTGTGTGGTGGAAGGTGGACAGCTTGTGTGCATCTTTTTTGGTCATTCTTCAGCATTCCGCTCCATAAAGAAGAACTGGCAAAATGATGCTATTGTAGAGTCGGAGTTTCGTTCCTCTACAGTAATTGTTGGATTTCCAGATTTGCCTCATCCTTCCAAAAGCAGCTCTAGCTTTGTTTAGACGTGACTGTATGTCTTCCACTGTCCCTCCCAGTAGGGACACCACACTGCCAAGATATATGAAATGTTCTACATTTTCAAGTGATTGGTTACTTATGGTCACTGGTTGTTGGTTTGGACTGTTTGTCATGATCTTAGTTTTCTTTGTATTTATTCTCAGTCCCACCATTTCTGCTGTGCAGTTTAGTCTGTTACTTTTCTCTTGTATATGTTCATGTTTATGTGATAGGAATTCGCCCAGTTCAGCGGTTCCCAACCTGTGGGTCGCGACCGCTTTGGATGTGGAACTACCATTTCATAGGGGTCGCCTAAGACCATCTGAAAACCATATTCACTGAAGTTATGATATAGCAACGAAAATAATTTTATGGTTGGAGGTCACCACAACATGAGGAACTGTTTTAAAGGACCGTGACATTAATAAGTTTGAGAACCACTGACCTAGTTCTTGACTGTCTCCTCCAGCTTGTATCTCTTGATATACAGTTTTCTATCCAATATCGTTTTTAAAAAAGTGATATCTGTTCTTATGTTGCATGACGCTTTAGATTTTAAAAAATTTTTTAGTAACTGTCCTTTTAGTCTCAGTCTCGCCAAAACCATTGTGTTTGATAATGCCTGCAGAAGTCGGATGTGTCGGCCGAAAGGTGCAAATATTGCAGCCATGCTGTAAATTGGCACAACGCAATTACATCTTCGGATGAACGCAGACGAAGAAGTACTATAATGAATATTGTTATGAAAAGGAATAGTCGGTGTTTGTGGCTTAGGCGTTGCGAACGCTCTTCGTAATGCCAGGGTGCCAGGTTCCATCCCAGCTGCGGGCCTTGCGTCCTTGCGTTGGTTTCGACAATGGTATCGAGAAGCCGACCGTTCAATAAGTAATGGCAAACTACTAGAGTTAAATTGCCTAGAAAAACCACAACGGCTAAAAAATGCTGGGGTTGGTTCTGCATCGTCCTGTAAAGGATACGCAACTAACTTACGAAAAGGATTGGACTCCAGAACGTTATAACGACTGGTTAGATTTATGGAGAAACGGCGGAGAGCAAAAATATAAATACCTGGATGGATTTGTCATACGAGTGGTGGCCAAACTAAGCGTTACCACACGCAGCAAATAAACATTGCCAAGATAGAGTCGCTGCTTAGTTTAGGAGCTGACTAAAATTGGCAAGAATCTTTTGGGGGTTTTTTTTCGGACTACCATGACTATGACCATGACCTACGGTTGGGATGAAAAAGGAGCAGTCTCATTCTGGTGATCGTGTTGGATTGCGAAACATTACAGACTACGCCTATCGGCATGGCACATGATGATAATAGTATGAAGTGTTGAGTCATCACATACATGTAGTATTTTACATATGAGGCGCGGGGTCTCTCTCTCTCTCTCTCTCTCTCTCTCTCTCTAGCTCGCACTCTCTCTCTCTCTCTCTCTCTCTCTCTCTCTCTCTCTCTCTCTCTCTCTCTCTCTCTCTCTCTCTCTCTCTCTGTACCCACCAGGACATCACACAAGCGATAAACACCGGGTAACACAAAGTGCCACAGTGAGGATGATAATCACCAATGGAGAGGTCCCAGAAATCCCTTTCAGCCGTTAGGCCATATTTATGGCCCTCGGCAAAAGCCAGGGTGGGGCTTTGGACGCTAGACAGCGGTACTGTTCGGAGCAGAGGCAAATTGTTTTGCTTCTGCCGGACGGTGGCCAATGCATTTTTGCTCCTCCATTTGTAGACTAGATATAGTTTCGTCGCCCAGCTTCTGAGTCGAATGCATGGCGTGACACTGTGAGCTGCGGATTACATTTGGAAAGTTTTTTCGACTGTGACCCACGTGGTGGTGTGAATTGTAGATTTAGAAAATGGCGCGATGCCTGTCGTGCAATGTTGGTGGTGCCCGTATGTGATTAAAATTGATTGCGTGGGCAACTGCAGATCTGTTGGCGACTTATGCTACCATCAATGATGGACTGCATTTCTAATGTCGGACTGTTTGTGTTAGCACTTCAGATCGTTACTGTATGTTTTAATGCGAGTGTATGCTAGATATGCTGAGACAGCAGTCTGTCAATCTTTCCACAAGGGACTGTGATGAACATTCTGCGTGTTTTTTTCGTTGGCACAGGAGTGGAGCAAAGATGGGGTAACCCGTTTCCTAAGAAGCTGAAACTAAGACTACCAGACCAGACTTTCGAAGCGCATTGTTCAATTCCCTGGGCATACAATTGTCAGACAATTCTGGAAATTTCTTGTACATATTTTGGCGAGGCTGATTTCCTCCTCGTCCGCATTGATCGGCAAAAAGCATAGGGATTTCAACTGTACTGCTTCAAGATAGGTGAGCATAAGTAAGTAAAACACACCTGCTAACAGCACACATGGTATTTAAAAAGGAAGCTGATTGATGAATAATAGCTCAAGCAAAGGCAGCATTTCGCACAATTTAAAAAAAAAAAAAAAATTTATCTAATCCTTCTTTGTTAGCTGAGACGAGAAAGACTGCAACAACAAAGCCAAAAAATTTAGCTACAGCAAGAAGAGGAGACAGAACAAGAACAACAGAAAGACAAAAAGAGCTATAAAGAAACAGGGGAAAAAAGGGTTTGTGAGAGGATAATTAAGTATATGAGTATAGTATCTGACACAGAAGTGTATAGTGTTTAACATTGTCTGAACAACAGTTGCTGTCGTAACCACGACAACTGCTACGCCAGCCTGGGCGATGGGTGTGCGTTTTTCCCATCGATTGTAACCACCTACCAGAAAGAATGTAGTGGAAACGTCTGTCGCTGTACAGGTGAGTTCATTTATATGTGATAAAACCTTTACAAGACGTCCCTCTCATCACAGCACTCTTGAAGGTATATCTCTCTACACTGTCAACTTTCCCAGATTGTTTCAAGAGTGTCCTTAAAATCCCGTGCCCGTGGCAATGATGGTCTATCCGTAACATTCCTCCACGAACCACATTTTACATTTCTGGGGTTTTTTTTTACAAACTATTACAGGGTATTTTCTTTTTCTTCTTCTTCTTCTTCTTCTTCTTCTTCTTCTTCTTCTTCTTCTTCTTCTCTTCTTCTTCTTCTTCTTCTTCTTCTTCTTCTTCTTCTTTATCTTCTTTTTCTTCTTCTTCTTTATCTTCTTCTTCCTCTTCTTCTTCTTCTTTATCTTCTTTTTCTTCTTCTTCTTCTAGTTGATGAGCTAGACTCCACACCCAGCCGTCGATGATCAGGTCCTGAATAATGTCAGAATGTTTCCTTGGCATTTAATGCATGCTGAGAAAGATTAGGAAAGGCTTGCTTCGTACAGAGTGGCATGCTTCGCTGCGGAGGACACGGGTGAGGAGTATTGTCTGGATTTTTTTCACCTCGGCACGCCGGAGTGTTGGGAAATGAACTGGCTGGCTGTGCACAACTTGGTTGAATACTGATGCATGATAAGGCCGACGTTGTTAGTGTCGTGTGGGACAGTTCGGAGGAGCAGATGGATCACCACAGTCTGGTTAGATTGATGCAGGGGGGGAGTGACGAGAGGTTCTGGCAGATGCTCGAGGCTCAGAGGAAAGGCCAGACGAACGTTTAATCAGAATGCTGCTGTCACCATTAGTTTCGGAACTCTTCACTGGCTGCTGAAGATGGAGACGGAGCGCTTATGGAAATGCCCCGAGTGCTGTGATGTCGGTTCTTAAATCAAATCAAATCAAAGGAAAAAAACAATGTATGTTATGTTTATATGAAAACCTTGACTTTTTTCTTTCCTATGGAGAAATAATAACTGAGACTAACCCCAAACCGCCTTTTTCCCCCAACATGTTTTCTTTTTTTTCGGCACCTTTGCTAGTAATGCACACCTTTGCTTATTGTTCATTGTTCTTTTTTAAGATCCTCTTCAGCGCACATTGGGCATATCATAAGTGCTCCGATTAAACATCAGCATCAACCATTGGTGGCCGGGGGCTGCGTGGTTGCAATGCATGATGCTCGCCTCGAGTGCTATAGCTTCTGGGTTCAATTCTCGGTAAGGGCTGGGATTTTTTCACTTAACTTGGACTTCTAGTAATTCACCCTGGTCTCTGGGTAGTGAGATCGGAAGCCCGTGTGTATTGTTCCGCACGTGAAAAACCTCTTGGCAGTTGGAAATAGAAAAGAGTAGCCTAACGGCGCTGTCCAGGCAAAATTTGGAGTTTAAAATCTACCCAAAGTATTTTAGGATCCTCGCCGGTGCTACAGAGCCTGTGCACTGTGATGAGCTTCTTCAGACTCAGACTTTAGTTCGAAGAAGAACGGGGCACTTATGGGTCATTACCCGTGTGCCATGATGTTGATTCGATGTTCAAACTTCAAACCACTGGTAGCCCAAAATCACGGCCCTGTCTTGTCAGGGCGATAACCACCACAAAGTACTGCTTGTATTCATTGGGTATGGGTATCTATTCCTCTCCACGGTTTTTGTCGTGCATACCTGACACGCATCAATACCTAGATATTAGGCCCTTGTCATTTTATATCAAACTTGAGAAAGATTACATCAACAATGTGTCTATTTGCAGATTCACCAACCGTGAACAGTTGTGAATACAGGACTTGTCAATGTGATGTGACATTCGCACAATGCCTGCAAAGCACCACATACAACCGCAGCTTCTATAAATACAAAAGATCCAGGTGCCAGAGTTAGGATGCGTAACACATATAGGCGCTTACAGTTCATACATACTAGCATAGGGTCATGTAACCAACCACTTTATGAACTTGCTATGTAACTATGATGAATATGAAACACTATGCTATTTACTTATTAAGGTCACTTACACAGCCCAAGAAATAAATTTGTTGTTGTAGACTGACGGGAAAAAAATGCAGGAAACAAGGAATGATAAAAAGACAAATAGACAATAAGAATACTGAAAAATACTGGCACATCAAGATTCAGGCGACGAGCACAGTGACAACGATAGGGCTACATGGAAGAATAAACATAGATAACCAAAGGAGGGATACCATTGAGGGCAAAGAAACATTTTATATATATTTTAATTGGCAAGCAACGAAAGAAGTAGAAAAACAGAAGGGCACATTAGACAACATAAAAATCGAAAGCTATAGTTACTGTTTCGGGAACTGAACATGTCACCTGCAAATGGCGTGTGCGACTCGCTACGGAAACAAGTCCACATAGATGCATGGCTAACAAGGCTAAAATAAAGTTGTGTCTTTATTTGCCATGTCTTTTGTACAGTTTAAAATCCACAACTATGGAACACAGACAGAACTGAGCCTAACCCATGAAAATGGCAAAATTGCTATATATTTGAAGCACAGTTCAGCACGACGATAACAATATGTTTACCGATATATACTTTAAGTTAACAGAACCTTGGTATCTACCAATATGACACAAATAGAATTCAGTAACGTAACACACAAAATGCAGTCTATAACGTCCCCATGGCATTCCAAAGTTGACTACATCATATACTAAGCATCCTCAGAATAATCACCAATTGGCGCTATGAAACGCAGCCTCAACCTTTCTGCAGTTCCTGGTTTCGCGAGCTGTCACCGCCGCTGTGCCTACGACCGCCGGTAAACCGTCTACTGTGCTAGCAGTAAGAATGAACACTTTCCATTGCTCCTACTCAGCTTTGTCGCGAATAATAGGTTCTATTAAACAGGCACAATCCTCTTGAACTGACCAGAGACTTCCACTAACTTGTAGGTCTCCGCGATACTCACATTTGCTAGTCAGAACAATGAAAGGAATTCTACACAATGAACTGGCTAGAAACTACCATTCTGAGTCTCCTCGATAACGATCTTTAGCCAGACACCAACGAGGAACGATCACGTCCTCGCATGTAGAATTATTGCTTGCTCAATTAGAGAAAAACTCCACGCGTCTTCTCAGCAAGGTAATCTCCTCTCAACTGTTTATCAACCAATGATCCTTTATACTTACCCAAGTATATTTCCTGAGTGAGTTCTCTGTGCATTTTCAGATACACGAGAAGCACGACAGTTATTCTTGTGACTAAACTCAATTCACGCAGGTTTCGCCTGATAGTTCTCGGTCTGAATGTTGACTCGGGCATCGTTGACACTTCATACATTTACTGGGCAACATGGTTGTCTCAATTCATACAGATTCGACGCACAAGTGTAATCACCTATAGTGAATGACAGATGGGTAGGAGATGATGAGGCCGACCCCTAACACTATATACAGATTTTTGCAAGCGGGACATGAATGATACATTCTTATAAGATACGCCTAGCCAAACTTGATGAGACCAGATTGGAGAACACATTGGAAGACACAAGGGCAAAATACTGAGAATGAATGGGACGAAGGATGATCTACGAGGGAAAACGTCCTGAAGATAAAAGAAAAGGACAAGAGGAGCACTTTGGGACACAGACAGAAAGGAACAGTTTATTTTTAGTAGATTAGAAACCTAAAGCCAGAGGGCATGTAAGAGGCGCAAAAAATTCAAACGACAAATATAGCCGGAAATTGGGGTTTTTAGGTGGACTCGTGGAAAAAGATTGCCATTGACCTTGTTGCGGGGAGGGTTACGTCAGGAAGGGAATTGGAATGAAGCAATAAATCATTGCCGAAAGGATGAGAGCTGAACGTCTGAGAAAACACACTTAACGCCAAGGTTTACAACAACGGCCCTTAAATACCATGCTATAATTGTGGAAGACTTTTTTTTTTTAAACTTGGCCGGCTCTTGCTAGTCACACTCGCCATCGCTTTGGGCTGTGAGCCCATTGTATCCTCACAGCTCAATACAACACAATCGTCTGGAAAGACAGAAAGGTGTTAACAGAGTTGCATCATTCGCTGGCTTCGTTAAATATACATGAATATTATATATATATATATTTACTGTCACAAATTTTACTGCTACTAACAATACTATACTACTACTCCTACTACTCGTGCTTTTTCTTCTTCTTCTTCTTCTTCTTCTTCTTCTTCTTCTTCTTCTTCTTCTTCTTCTTCTTCTTCTTCTTCTTCTTCCTCCTCCTCTTCTTCTTCCTCTTTTACTTCTTCTTCTTCTTCTTCTTCTTCTTCTTCTTCTTCTTCTTCTTCTTCTTCTTCTTCTTCTTCGTCATCTTCTTCTTCGTCATCTTCTTCTTCGTCATCTTCTTCTTCGTCATCTTCTTCTTCTTCTTCTTCTTCTTCTTTTTCTTCTTCTTCTTCTTCTTCTTCTTCTTCTTCTTCTTCTTCTTCTTCTTCTTCTTCTTCTTCTTCTTCTTCTTCTTCTTCTTCATCTGTCATCACTAAAAAGGAACAAATGCACTCAACCAGCCAACGTCTAAGCTCTTCATTGTTGGTTCTTTTACATAGATGAATTCTACGAGAATGATTCTAGCCAGTTTCATGCCACCCTTTCTTAGTCTAATCTTACGCCACGCACTGTAAATTCTGCTTCTCTTATGGACCCAAATAACGTACTAACCCTATTTATATCGGTATACAGTGTCGTTATTTTCTAGTTCCGTGACGAA